ATAGAAAGACGAAGAGTAATTGACAAACAAATATATGAAAAATTATCTAATATGACACCTTTACATGTTACATATAGAATATATGAAAAATTATCTAATATGGCACTTTTACATGTTTAATTCTAGAAATATCACATCTGTATGTTTTATTACACCCCATGACATCCTGCATATTGAAAAGACAATTATGACTCTACTTCAATTAAAACAAATTACTTCATTAAAAGGCAGTTTGCACCGTAAATAATACCAACCTAACGCAGATATTGACAAAAAATTAATAATAAAACTAATGATAAAGCTTGGAGTAATAATGAAATGCATTTAATGACGATATCTTACATGCATTTAATGAGGCGTGATAACAGGTTTCACTAAAGTATTTTTCTTTTACTTTAGAAGAACCTGCAATGGACGTAGAAAAACTGTAGGTTATGTTTAGATAGTGAACGATGATTTCGTGAAAGTATGCCATCAATTGCTAAGTATGACCATAGGGGTGAAGAACCTAACCTAGAAGCAACAAAAACAAAAAATTTTCTCTTGTATTTCTTTTTACGTTAAATATCAAAATTTTCAATTGAAAACAAAAAACCTTATTGAACATATTGATCAAAAATGTTTCAAAGAAATGCAAAGAAAAAAGATAAGAGCAGACATCTATACATTCAATTCAGCAGTAGGATGTCTCTGCAAAGTTGACAGGTTAAATGAGAGTGAAGAGCTGATATATGAAATGTTAAAAAAAGGTGTTGCTCCAGTTGTTGTCACATACAGTGGCATCCTCAATGGCTATACCAAAAGAGGAATGATAATATGGGTGTTACTCCAGATGTAAGATGCTACAACAGTTTGATTGAAGTTTATAGCTACAATGGCAACTTAGATGCAGCAACCAGAAGATTCAATGCAATGGCATGGCATGACCAGAGGGAACTCGAACTATTCTATTCCTCTCTTGATTGCAAGTATTTCTTTGAAGGTGGGATTGTAGTGCTTCTCGCTAAAACGCCACTTTTGTATTCACAAATGTTTCGCTTTCTTTTTTCATCTTCTTCTAAGAGAACAGCTCCTCAGTAACAGTCTGTTTTTGCCTTTTTGATGGGATCTTTAATGACAAAATGGCCTTTTAAATTGCTTTAAGCTCCTTTACTGCTTCTGTGCATTTTTTTACCATGGAAGAGCATCTTTTTTTAGCTGCGTTGAGAGAAGTGACCTGTATTTTTCTAGGCCATGGATGAATTTTGCCATGTAATTGACAACTTTAAGAAATTGTTGGACTTGTTTGAAGAAGAGTCTTTCATCTGGAAACTCATTGAGCTGTGTTGCAATGTGAGGCTGTAGATGATATTGCTTTTAATATGCATACCAAGGAAATCGATCTCTGTTTTTCAAATCTATAAGAGAATGTAATCATCAATATGTGAATATGGAAAAAAATCTATAAGAGAATGCATATATAAAAAAAATCTACGAGACAATTTAATCATCATTATGTGAATATAAAAAAATTTTAATCTACGAGAGAATGCATATGAGAAAAAAAAATCATACAATATGATAACCACTCCAAAAAAATGGCTAAACTACAGAAAATTGTATGGGTATTTTAAGAGATCTACGAAAGAATGTAGATATGAGGAAAAAAATTACGAGACAATGTAATCAATGTGAATATGAATTAAAAAAAATTCAATCTATGAGAGAATGCATATATGAGAAAAAGAATCATATAATATAATAATCATTATGTGAATATGGGGAAAAAATTTCTAATCAATGCATATATGGGAAAAAAATCTATGAGACAATGTAATTATCATTATGTGAATATTAAAAAAAAAATCTAATCTACGAAAAAATGCATATACAAGAAAAAGAATCATACAATATGATAATGCTCCAAAAAGGGCTAAACTACAGACAATTGAACCGGGTAATCTACGAGATGTATGAGAGAATGCGTATGAGAAAAACAAAAATTATGAGAAAACAAAATCTAATCTACAAAAGAATGCATATGTGGAAAAATAATGTATGCTAACACTTCTAAAAAATAAAAATGATTCCATATACGGACTAAATCATTTTTAAAAAAATTGAATTCAAAAAAATATGCAGTATATTATCGTAATGTTTGTAATAATAATTATTTTTACAAAATTATTTTACTTAGTTGAAGGAAAAAAAAAAATCTCCAGCTTTACACCACTGGTTAATCCCTAGTTTTAAGAATAAGACGTTGTAGGTAAAACATTTGTATTCGAACATTTTAAAAATTAAGTTTGTTTTAATTAATCACCAATTATTTGTTCGAAGAAGTGGAGGGTGATAATACAGTTTGTCCCTATTACTTATTTATTTTCAAAACATTTATTTTTGTTGAGATCACTAAATCGAAGGATTGTCGTTGTGACGATGGTGAAATTACTACAGAACTCAGAAGTCCTGCACAAACTGTGATCAGTCACTGTTGTGGTCTGAAGTCAAGCCATGAGCATCACGAAACTTGTACGCTCCAATGGCTTTAAACCAATCCCAAATTTTGTCAGAAGCTCACTACGCAACGCTTGCGTCGAGTCGAATCAAAACACGGACGCTCCTTACAGACCCAAGAAGCATCACATTTTAGCAACCAATCTCATCCTTTCTTATTTCAAGAAAGGCTTGGTTGAAGAAGCACGCTCACTGTTCGACGAAATGCCTGAGAGAGACGTTGTGGCATGGACCGCAATGATCACAGGTTACGCTTCCTCCGAGTACAATGCTCGTGCTTGGGATTGTTTCCGTGAGATGCTCAGGCAAGGAACTGACCCGAATGAGTTTACGCTCTCGAGCGTCCTTAAGTCTTGTAGAAACATGAAGGTTTTGGCTTGTGGTGGTTTGGTTCATGGGTTTGTGGTTAAACTCGGTATGGAAGGTTCTCTGTATGTTGACAATGCGTTGGTGAATATGTATGCTACTTGTTCGACAACAATGGAGGCTGCTTGTTCGATTTTTCGGGGTATCAAGGTAAAAAACGACGTCACTTGGACTACTCTAATCACCGGGTTTACGCATTTGGGTGATGGCATTGGCGGTTTAAAGATGTATAAGCAAATGCTGCTGGTAAAAAAAATACATTTCAGTGAATTGCTAATGATTTTGGTTGATTCAGGTTTTAACATTTGGTTCTGTTTTGTATGTTAGGAGAATGCAGATGTGACGCCTTATTGTATAACGATTGCTGTTAGAGCTTCCGCTTCAGTTGATTCGGTTACAACGGGAAAGCAGATTCACGCATCTGTGATTAAACATGGGTTTCAGTCTAACCTTCCGGTGATGAACTCTATATTGGACTTGTATTGCAGGTGTGGTTATTTATTAGAAGCGAAACGCCATTTCCATGAGATGGAAGATAGAGATCTGATCACATGGAACACTCTAATATCCGAGCTAGAGAGATCAGACAGCAGTGAAGCTCTGATGATGTTTCAGCGGTTTGAATCTCGAGGCTTTGTGCCAAATTGTTACACTTTCACTAGCTTAGTTGCTGCCTGCGCCAATATAGCGGCATTGAACTGTGGCCAACAACTTCATGGAAGGATTTATAGAAGAGGGTTTAACAAAAACGTTGAGTTAGCCAACGCTTTGATCGATATGTATGCTAAATGCGGTGACATACCGGACTCGCAAAGAGTATTTGGTGAAATCGCAGAGAGGAGGAATCTTGTATCTTGGACTTCGATGATGATTGGGTATGGATCACACGGTTATGGAGAAGAAGCTGTTGAGATTTTCGACAAAATGGTTAGTTCGGGTATTAGACCAGACCGGATAGTGTTCATGGCGGTTCTGAGCGCTTGTCGCCATGCTGGTCTAGTGGAGAAAGGATTGAAGTACTTTAAAGTGATTGAAAGCGAGTATGGTATTAATCCAGATCAAGATATCTACAACTGTGTGGTGGATTTGCTTGGAAGAGCTGGTAAAATAGGTGAGGCTTATGAATTGGTTGAGAAGATGCCGTTTAAGCCAGACGAATCCACGTGGGGAGCGATTCTTGGGGCCTGTAAAGCTCATAAACACACGGGGTTGATAAGCAGATTAGCTGCAAGTAAAGTTATGGAGTTGAAACCGAGAATGGTGGGGACTTATGTGATGCTTTCATACATCTACGCAGCAGAAGGCAGATGGGGGGATTTTGCGAGAGTGAGGAAGATGATGAAGATGATGGGGAACAAAAAAGAAGCCGGTATGAGCTGGATCGAGGTGGAAAATCAGGTTTTTAGCTTTGCTGTGAGCGATAAATCGTGTCCTAATGCGGATTCTGTGTATTCAGTCTTGGATTTACTGATAGAAGAGACCAGAGAAGCTGGCTATGTTCCTGACTTAGAGTCATTAGTTCATGATCAAGAAGTCGGAACTTGAAGAAAAGAGCGTTTGCTGTATATATCCTCTTGTTCTGTTTGTGGTTAAGTTATTGGTTGGATTGGATTGATGTTCAGGATGAAGATCAAGAAAGTGAAGATAAATGACAAGAAGGATTGTTGAAAGACAGAGAATCTGAAAATGGCCGAGACTCTTTCTTGATTAACTACCATTACTGGACGAATCTCTTTATGTATAGATACAGTAATGGAGAGTGGTCCTACTTACTAAAGAACAAACATCGCCATACCTCGTTTTAGATCAGGTATGGCTAATTTTGGTGTTAGGACAATCGTAACCATCTTCAATGGATCAAGTGTTGTTGGCCTATTTATAGCATAACTTCTCTTTTTTGTATTTATGTCGTATGAATTGTCATGGCTTGCAAGAAACTTTGAGAAAATGGTTGGCTATGAAGTAACCGCTGAGTTTTCTTTATTAAAAGGAAGAAATACACACATGGGTCATGTTAAAGTTATAGCTTTCTGTTGATATGTTAACATCAGGAAGGTTCAGATCTATATAATTAGAGCTAGAGTTTTGTTTGTTCATATGTTTTTGAAGGATTTTCCGGTTTATTGTGGTCTGGAAAATAGGATCTTAAATCTTATTAATATTGAAAATTAAGCAGCAAGAGCAGATAGTAATACATGATTAAGATAATGAGTAAGAGAGAGAGAGGTTTAAGTAATTAAGCATTAAGAGCTTCTTTAACCTCAGTGGTTCCATTGTTCTTGTCCAGTGCAGGCTTCTCAACCTCAGGAACCACAAAAGCTGAAACCGGGAAAGTTCTGGACAGACCGGTAGGTGTCCTGAAATTGATCTTCCCTGAAGAAATTGGCTGCTCCAAGGCAAGCTCATTGAGAGTGACCCAAATAAGAAGCTCCTTGGCCTTCACACCGGTAAGCTTCTTGATCTTTCCAACTTCCACCACCGCGGTGACTTCAGTGCCGTAAGAGACAAGTTTTCCAATGGCTTCAAACTTGTGGGTGATGCTCTTCTTCTGCTTCAGCCACACAACACCTGTTTCTCTGTCGTACCCAACCTCTTCTATGTCCTTCAATGGCAGTAACCCATTAGGCATAGAAACTTCTTTGAGGAACTCTTTCGTCTTCTCGCGGCATAACTCATCTCCTGTGTATTTCTCTGCCCTAGCTCTCACTTCTTCTGTAACCAAACCCATCTCTGTGTTTTTGTTTTTGTCTGTAAGTTAAGATCTGTCTTTTTAAGATCTGTGTCTTTTGGGTTTTTTGTTGTGGTGTTTGGCTTTTCATTTATAGGTGGTGAGGTATTTAATCACCCCTACATCCTCTATTTAATTACGGGAAATGCCACTGTGTGAAATTAATCACATGTGTCAAGACAGGACTATGAAATGTTCCTACAACCGGTTCTAAAGTCAAAGAGTAAAAGACATTGGGATTTGAATAAACTACACAATCTCAGCAAAGAAAAGTAGTTGATCCAATGCCTTTTTTAACTATAATCTGCAAAAAATTAAAACATCAAATTACTTCAAATGGTCACTTATTTACATCGATTGAACCTATCCACAAATATAAATGCAATGGTTGGATTAAATTGTTAGGTGAAAATATATTTTTTGAGGTATTGGATTGAAACGGAAAAGGAAAAAAAGGTTGGGAAATAATGTGATGCATTGTATAAGTCTTTAATGGTTACAGTTGGGCAGATTTATGGCCTAAATTAAAGTGACTTGGGTGAGGAGACAAACGTTACTGTATAATTCCAATAATGTATCGACACGTGTCGAATTGTATTTTTTATTTGTAGGTAGGACGGTCACCTTATTTAATCACATTTTGTGAGGTAACAACTTGCGTATATGAGTGAAGTAAAATTAGAAACAAACAAAAATGTACTTCAAATTAATGTCCTCGTATCCAAAAATATATTCTCGAGACATGAAATAAATGACATAACATTATATTATATTTACCTAAATCTAGACCAAGCTGAAAAGTGAGACACATTATGTAGGGAAGTAAAAAGGTTAAAATGCAAACCATTTAACAAAAAAATAAAAAGGTTAATATAATGTTATGTTTTATGCCTATTAAGGGGTTGATGGTTATATTCATTTTGGAGAGAATTAGCCGGGTGATAAATGTCGAGATCATCATCTGATTACCAAAAATAAGGATTAATGGATGATGCAAACTATTTGATTATTTTATTTTTATTTTTCTTAATATTACCAATTCAGATTTATGAACCAAAAGAAGAAACCAATCGTATTGTTTTGAATAGTCATCTAGTCAACATAAATATGTATATCGTAGTTTGTTTTCTTAACAATAAATCGTAAAATGAACTATATCGTGAAATCCAGATTCTACTTCCATACATTCATACAGATATATTTCTAGGTATTCAATAATTTATAAAAGTTATATTATGTATTAATGTTAGGTTCATGTTTAAAAATCGATGACATAAGCATACCACAAAAAGAATCATATAATGATATACGTAGTAGTTTAAGATTTTTTTGACTAGACATCTTAAAATGAACGATTGTCCTAAAATCCAGATTCTACGACCATTCACTACAAAAAAATAGTAGATATTCCTACGAAAGATATCATCAGAAAATGGTAGGAAATGCCTGTTTCTATAAAAAACAGCAGATTTTAGTAGGTTCTATGCTGTCCGAAATTATAAATAGTCAGAAAATGGTAGGAAATTTCCTATAAAATTTTTAGTAGGAAAATTTCATCGGGAAATTTAGTCAGAATATCGTAGGGCATTTGCTACTACTTTCCTTCCATTTGCGAATATTCGTCAAATATATTTCTATTTATTCTTTGAAGTCATATATTTATTTATTCAGTTATTACTAACAAAGTATTATATATTAAATTTAGGTTCATGCTTTTTAAAATTGACGAGGAGAAAAAACATACCATACACCAATAATAAATTCATGGACTAAAGTTACATTCACGCTTTTATAACTTGATGAGATAAACATACCATACATCAATAATCAATTCATGGAGTAATGTTACATTCATGCTTTTATAAATTGTTAAGATGCACATACTATACAATACACCAAAAATTAATTCATGGACTAAAGTTACTTTCGTGCTTATACAAAATTGATGAAACATACAATAAATTACTAATGATCAATTCATTTGAAATTGCAGCAGACCGCAAACTTTTAATCGGGACAGAGAATAATTTGTCTTTTATACTTTCATAAATTGGAAAAGATATAAGCATCCTCATTCAAAACCTAACTGCCACAATAATAGGCAATGGTTTGCATTTTAACCTTTTTACTTCCCTACATAATGTCAAGGTTAACAGATAATGTTTTTTTTTGGTTAAATTTAAATTTTATACCAAATTTTTTCAAATTTTTTATAGAATACAGGTACGACAAAGAAAGCAGAAAACTAAAATCTACGACAAACGAAAATCGACATTGAAGCAACAGAAACACAAAGAAAGGCAAAGAACCGGTAAGTGAAATAAAAAAGATAAAACCGAAGCAAAACAAGACGAGAAAGCAGCAATCACGTGCTAAAGCACGGACCATCCCGTATTTGCCGCAGCTCAAAGAGCTGGAGTTCACATCATAGTTGCCACGAAGTCTGAGCGGTAATCGGAGAGGTCACTTCCGAAACCATTCCCGTAGAAACCGAAATCTCCATAAGGACCAACCTCCACAGTTGCAACCTAACCGAACAACAAACCGGCGCCTCTACAATACACGTCTCGAGACGCTCCACCATCTACACCGAACTACTAAGTCGGAGCCATCACGAACCAAGACGAAGACCAATCTGCGAAGCTGCTGAAAAAATGCCGAGAACAAGCACACACACCTACCGCAAAACCTGAGCCACAACAGTGAAAAGACGGCACCGGAGCTTCTCCGACGAACCGAGAGAAACTGCCGCTGAGCCACCCGCCTAGAGCCACCGCCAAGAAACACAGCAGGTGGAGCCGCGCACGCCGGGAAAACGAGAGCCACCACTCCGAGGCTAGCCACAAGCAAAACATCTCCTGAGATACCGAACCAGAGATTGAACCCGTCCTCGAGGTCCAAACCACCGCCGCCGGAGCCGAGGAGACCAGAGCTTACATCGCCACCACACCTCCACCTTGGGAACACCACTATATGCAAAACAAGGCAGAGTGGAACTTTAAACGGGGAGAGACGAGCATCACCACTGAGGAAAGTCGGAGAGCACGTCACCGGCGACGAGGACTCTCAAAGAAAAGCCAATGGAGACCGCCGGAGGAAAACGCTGGTGAGCACCAAAGAGAAGAAAACCGCCAGCGAAGAAAGAGGCGAACAGAGGAGAGACACATGACCACGAGGAGATAGCCTTCCACCACCGCAACCCCAGCAACGCCGCTGAGGCTCCGCCGCCGTCGATCCAGGAACACACGCTGGAGATGGAGAACTTCACTTTAACACCACAACCGAGCCGACAGCCAAGCACAACAACAAGTCAACCAAATGAAAGAGGAGGTCAACGTGGTCCCTCCTTCGGCGACGGTGAGCCACCACGCGCGCCGGAGAGGAAGATCGGAGATGTTTTTTTGTTGTCGGCAAAGAAAATAAAAGTAGATCTGGGAATCGCCTCTCAAAGGCTTTTTCGAGGAGAGAGAAAATTTGTGTTAGTATGTGATATTTTGTTTTTTTTTTTTTGTTAACAGATAATGTTACTTATAAGATTTCATGCGTAAAATATAATACATGACAATATTTAGCTATAAATATACAGAGACTCTAAACCTCATTTTAAAAAAAATACCAGAAATTTAATTTAGTATTGTACTATATGCATGAGATTTCATGCGTAAAATATAATACATGAGTCATGACAATATTTAACTATAAATATACAGAGAATGTAAACCTCATGCTTTTTTTTTATATAATTAAGGATAGATCCAAAGTTTTACCATCCGACTGATTTTTTTAGAGTAAATGTAGTTGTCGAATTGCATAACCCCATTTTCTTATAGATACAAAACATAACTGGCCAAATGAAAATGATTCAATTCATGGAACTTTGAAGGTTTAGACCTAGTCATCAGAAGATGTAACCTCCTCATTATAACGAAAAAATGAAATGATAAATAATTCCACGCTTGTTGTGATTTAGTGAAAATGAAAATGGGTAAATAATTCAAAAAAGTTCAAGGTCAAGTGGTAAGGAGACGACTTACGGCTTGGGATGCCAACACGTTTCAAGTTCGATCCACATGCTATGCAAAAGTATAACACATTATTTTGGATACCTACATAGATATGGACCCTTGTTTTCGGCCCATTTGAATACCCGGAAAGAGAATCTATCAATGGGCTGCACCTTCTCCAGGAGATTAGTCTCGAACATTCCATAAGTCTAGGATGTACCCTGAATTATCAAAAAAAAATGATTAAACAAATAATATGATACCATATCCATGTAATATCGTGCTAGCATATCAAATAAATACAAGAATGAAATCCAAATTAACTGATAAATATGCCAACTTATTTACGTGTTTACTATTGGTCGTTTGTTACAAATTAAATGGTATTATAACTTATCTATATGCTGTAAATTCTCTTAATATGTCTTGATGTTTTAAAAATTTATCATTTTGGACCATTTTGGTTATTGAGTTTATTTCTAGAATCTTGGTGAAAAATAATTCCTTCATCAACTTGGTCATTATGATGTACAGATTGATAAAGCACATGATTGTTTTAAGTAGTTTAAACTACATATAAATTTTTTGAAGAGTAATCATCATAATATGAAAAAGGTGAGCCCTTTCCCACAGCTTGCCACATCAGCACTCCAAAGACCAACAAATGTCCATTTTTAAAATAAATTTAATGTTATTTATTCTAATTTTCAATTTATTAAGTGTAAATTCCATTTCAGAAATTTCATCAGTCCATTTTTTAAGAAACATCTACATTTACAATCATATCTTTTCATCTTCTTCGTCTTTTCTAATTTTTGTATCTGAAAAAATATATAAAATTAGGTTCAAGACGTTGTTTTTAATTTTTTAATCACGACATTCTGCTAGAAAAATATAATCTCACTAGAAGGAAAAAAAACAAATTAAATTTGATTTTATGATCTTAGGGCTTACTCTAGAAATATGTGAAGTCGGTTTAAAGAGGTTGCGAGAAACAACATCTAAAGGTTTAAGAGTTCCGATAGTTCAAGGTTTAACATAACTTTTCTTTTCTTTTCTTTTTAACATAATGTTCATAAC